CAGTTTAATCAATCAATAGACTCGTGTTGGCGGTTATTATTTAACTATTTTAATAGAAGATTAATACTTTCAGTTTGCTTGTATCATAGAAATTTTGATACCATACAACTTAAAGTGTTTTTTAATATAGGTGATTTTTGTACGTATGGAATGATATATGTAAAAGAAAATGCATCAGTAGGACCAAGTGCATAGAATTAAAAGTTACTAGATGCGATAAATGTATCCTCGTAATTATATATCTTTGCTTAATAATTTTTCAAGTAAAATGCCTAGATATGCAAAATTAAATATAGGGATGATTATATGTGCCAATAAGATTACAGATCTACAGCTCATTTATTCTAATTAATTCAATATTCTTTGTTCAATAAGTTTTTGCGCAGTAAAATTTTAATTACTTCAAAATAAATTTTTTTTTTATCGACAACTCCTGATAATTATCAAATCTATTGCTGATGTTAGTATTTTCATAATTGTTGCATTTAAAGTATACTATCAAATATATAAAAAAAAATCCGAGCTTTTGATAATTTTAATTAGTCTTTTATTTTTATTACCTACTAAAAAAAATATTAAATAGTAGGCCTATATTCTTGTCATTATTTTTTTTGAATGAAATATCACATATTCATACCATGGCATGTCAGTTAAAGACAAATATTCGCCGATACGAGTCAAAATATAAAAAGACAAGATAAATTCATCGTCTACTACTAAAAGTTCGGAGAAAAATTAATATCAATGCATTGTATACACTAAATGATAAACAGTAAATGATATAGGTGTAAAGCACCATTCGTCAGTTGCCGCTTTCTAATAAAAAAAATAAAAAAAATAAAAAAACTCAATAAAGAAATATAAAAAAGTTGTGGTAACTATAAGTGGAATACAGATTTTCTAATATTTCTTATTGACAACTTATTAACACTTATACACTTACACATATAAGCAGCGATTTCGTACACAAGTAAAAATAAAATAAAAAGTGCATTTGACGATGGTAAGCTGCGCTTGCAGAGTTTATGTAAATTAAATATGTGCTGAATAATATATATATATATTATATATATATATATTAGCGGAATATAACGTCAACATTCGTAAAATCTATGGGAAATAAAATTCGATTATGTGATTGAAACATACGCGCGGATTATCGATTGCGATCAAGGTGAATAAAATTGGACATTTTTTATCGATGAAAACCAATAGCAAAAATTATCTTAGTGACATGTACTTTACATTAATGACTTAAATTGTACATGATTGAGAATTAGAATTAATAATTTTCACATGTACAGATAAGAATTCTTGAGTCACAAGCAAATAAACGACTTACAATACAAGCAATCATATAATTTTATATAAAAAAATATATATATATGATCGCTATGTTAAAACAGTTTCTAAAAGATTCGTTCTCTCCCATCTCCTAATTTCTAATTACTTCTCCGAAAGATCTGCTATATGGCCAAAAATAAAACACACGTGATATAAAAAACTATTTTAAATTATGCGCTTTAAATGATTTCAATTAATCATTAATCATATTCTTATTCAAATGATATTAAGTCTTAAGTTTTAAATATCAGAAATAATAAATTAGGTATTTTATGCGCTGAATTTCGAAGTCCAATTTAATTTAAAAATATTATATATTACCACGTTTCTTGCAACGTAGTTTTCATGTGTCTAACAAAAAAAAAAAGGAAAAAACATTTAAGAAATTTAGTTGCCCTATTTCTATATTAACGTAAAAGCAATAATAAAAGAAAAAAAAAAAAATAACCTTTATAACTTTATGCAATACAACGCATAAAATATAATAATTATGTATCAAACCAGGACTATTATTCAGTATCTTTGTAACAAGATATTTAGACAATTGTGAATGTTCACGATAAAGAGGAAGCGAAAAGACGCACGAAAATTAAAAATTAAAAAATCATAATTGATAAGCCGTAATAGTAATTTTGTTTTCAAAAAGATATAAGCGAAGAAACCGTGAACTTCGTTCTAATCGAACAAAACGTAGACTTATTTTTACAATTAAGTAATATTAATATTATTACTGCTATTATTATAATTATTATTATTATAATTATTACTATTATTATTATAGGGACTCTGCGTAACTTGTTTGTTTTGTTAACTGCTATGCAGGTTTAGTCACGGTGATGACGACTTGATCTGTTCGGTAAATTAGATAGCATGATGATATAATTAATTACAAATCGTGTTAAATGACCGGAATAAAATGATACTTGTTCGCGCAGTAAAAAGTTTTACGGAAACCGTTATATTCCGAAACACTTGAAGTATGCAACGAAGAGCCCGGGGCTCCCGTTAGATCTTTCTTTAATATTTGTAAAATCGAATGCTAACGGGATCGATGAATATGAGACAAGTGAAATATAGCAAACTATCAAAAATAATGGATTATATTGATTTAAACTAAACTAGATATAAAATTTATTTAAAAGAAAATGCAATTTGTATCCGCTTGCTTGATATGTGAGGTGAAATGGAGGTCTCGTATGTATGGATCCCTTCAAAAAACATTTTGAATATTAAAAAATGCCTTACAACTGGTCGTATCATCGCTGCATCCGTGCATCGGACAATCCGAATTGACATAAATGAAGATAAAAAAAATCGCTGAGCAGAGTAGAATTTTGGCACGCAGGACCTGTCTCGTTGTGATATAATAAACGTCATTGTATTACTAGCCGAATGTTGAAACTCTATTTTTATTAAGGTACCATGTATTATTAGTCCATACTTAGCGATTTTATAGTGAATACATATAAGTCTTTTTACCTGTCTTGCGTGAAATATAATGAAACAAAATTCCAATAGCGAGACTCAAAATATTCAGAAATTTATTTGTATAAGATTTATCTGTATAAGATTGATTCATATTTTTCTTAATTATTGTTCTATAATTCATTTCTTCTCGCTAAAACACGCAATTAGGTAAAAAGAACAATTATGGTATCCATTGTCAGATGTTAAGATGAATCGTGCCATAGAATGTTATGCGTAAAGAATACTGTCATTTTTACTGTCTGTTTTATATTGTATTCTATTATCTTTTCAGCGGGAAAAAACAAATCGAGAAAAAAACATTTGAGTTCTTTTCGAGATTTTCAAAATTAATTACGTCTGTTTGCACGGTACAGATCTTTACGAGAAATTTACGTTACAAAAATGTAAAAGATCACAGAACTGATGTAATTTGAAGAAAGCGTAAGGCATCTAGATAGTGAGAAGAATGATGTAAAGCATAAATGAGAAAATAATGAGCAAAACTGTCGAAATCGAGTAATAATAATTTTCACTCCTGGTTTTGACTCTCATTCAACCTGATCGTAATTGCTTCTAAAAAAACGCTTGGGAAAATCTTGAAAATGTTCGACTAATATATTTAATATTCGAATATCTTCAAGATTACCGAGTTTATTTTGTACCGTATAATGTGCCTCAAAAATGCCAACGTTTCCAAAAGCAAATGGCAATTTACACTCAAGATAGCAGTTGATTTGTTTGAAAAAAAAGAAAGAAATAATAAAAGTAAAATCGAATTAAATGCTGCGAGCGCAAACATTGTCAATGAGATTTATCATAAATAATTAGAACGGTGTCAGAATAAAGGCGAAATGAAGAGTATGGATTTACAATAGAAATTATAAATGAAAAGACACTTGTTCTATGATGTAGCATTATAATAGCATATGCAAGCGCATTACGATTCGAATATTTCAGAAAAAACGAATGAACACTGCGCCGAGATATACATAGATAAGTTATATGGTAGCTAGTTCTGAATGAATGACAGTATGAATATTCTGTACTCTGCACGTATGTCTCGTTGCATGCCTGTAAAGAGCAGAAGGAAGTCTCAATCATATAATCATTTATTTATCTTATTTCGGGATAAAATAACATATGCATTTAAACGTTGAATATATGAGATATATAAAAAAAGAACACGAAAGAA